CTGCCCAACATGGAGAAACTCTGTCTATACTAAAAAATACAAAATTAGCCAGGCATAGTGGCACATGCTTGTAATCCCAGCTACTTGGGAGGCTGAGGCAAGAGAATCGCTTTATCCCAGGAGATGGAGGGTGCAGTTAGCCGAGATCCCACCATTGCCCTCCAGCCTGGGCAACAAGAGTGAAACTCCATCTCAAAAAAAAAAAAAAAATCACTACAGAAATTTCATAATACAATAGAAAGTAGTAGCAGCAGAATAGACCAAGTTGGAAAAGTAAACAAACTCACAGCTTGAAGACCAGTTCTTCAAATCAATTCAAATGAGAAAAAAAAATTTTTTTAATGAGCAAAATCTCTGAGGAATATGGGATTATGTAAAGATAGCAAACTTACAAGTCAGTGACATTCCTGAGAGAGAAGGAGAGACAATAGGCAACATGGAAAATATATTTGAGGTCACATACCACAAAAATTTCCTTTATCTAGTCAGAGAGGTTGACATGCAAATTCAAGAATACTGAAAACTCCAGCTAGGTACTATACAAAACAACCATCCCTAAGGCATAATATAGTCATCAGATTCTCAAGGTCAATGAGAAAGAAAAAAAATCTTAAACACACCTAGAGAGAAAGGCCAGGCTACATACAAAAGGAATCCCATCAAGCTAGCAGTGGACCTCTCAGCAGAAATCTTACAAGCCAGAAGACATTGAGAACCTATTTTCAGCACCTTGAATTAAAGAAATTCCAACCAAGAATTTAGTATTGTGCCAAACTATACTTTATAAGTGAAGGAAAAATAAAATCCTTCCTAGTCAAGCAAACACTGAGGGAATTTGTTACAAGTAAACCAGCCTTATAAAGATGTCTTTAAGAGAGTGCTAAACATGAAACTGAAACATGTTTTGCTACCACAAAATCAAACTTAAGCACAAAGCCCACAGATACTGTAAAGCAACTACACAATCAAGTCTACCTAACAACTAGCTAACACAATGACAGGATCAAAATTTCACATACCAATACTAGTATTAATCCACAAATTAATCCACAAATAAAGGTCCTGTACAGAGTCAAGACCCTCTGAAAGCATCCAGAAATGAACCCAACTTACTAGGCCTAATGTAAATGGGCTAAACATCCCACTTAAAAGGAACAGGGTTGTAATCAAGATAAAACAACAAGACCCAATTATCTGCTATCTTCAAGAGGCCCATCTCACAAATAACAACATCCACAGGCTCAAAGTAAAGGGATAAAGAAAGATCCATCACGCAAATGTAAGGAAAAAAATGGGGTAGTTGCAATTCTTGTATCAGACACAACAGAATTTCAACTGCCAACTACTAAGGACAAAGACGAACATTACATAATGATAAAGAGAACAATTCAACAATAAGATGTAACTCTCCTAATTATATAATCACCCAACATTCGAGCACCCAGATTCATAAAGTTATTGGCCTAGGAAAAGACTTAGACACACAGTAATAGTGGGAGACTTCAACACCTCACTGACAGCATCAGACAGATCACTGGGGCAGAAAACTAACAAAGATATTTTGAACTTAAACGCAACAATTGACTGATTTGACCTAACAGACATCTACAGAATAATCCACCCCAAAATCACAGCATATACGTTCTTCTCATCTGTACCCAGAACACATTCTAAGACTGACCACATGCTGTCATGAAGTCTCAATAAATTTAAAAAAAAAAAAAAAAAAAAAAAAGGAAATCATATCAAGTATACTCTCAGAGTACAGTGCAATAAAAATAGAAATAAATATCAAGATCTTTCAAAATTACACAAATACCTTAACAATGTTTTCCTGAATAACTCCTTGGTAAACATCAAATTTATGGCAGAAATCAAAAAATTCTTTGAAATTAATGAAAATAGGGATATAACTTACCAAAATCTCTGGAATGCAGGAAATTTTGCTGTGCTAAACACCTTCATCAAGAACTTAGAAACTTAGAAAGGTCTCAAATTAGCTATCTAATTTTGCAACTAGAGGAACTAGGAAAAAAACGGAAAAAAAAAAAAAAAAAAGTCAGTAGAAACCAACCCCAAGAAAGCAGAAGAAATAACTAAAATAAGAGAAGAACTTAATGAAATTGTACATCTGGAAGAATTTGCCTGTGAATCCACTGGTGGGTTTTTCTTTTTCTTTTTGATTCAAGACACAATGATAAAAGAAAACTTCAGGCCACTATCCCTGATGAACAGATACAAAAATCCTTAACAAAATACTAGCAAACCAAATCCAGCAGCACATCAAAAAGTTAATACACCACGATCAAGGAGGCTTTATTCCTGGGATGCAACACTGACTCAATATATGTAAATCAATAATGTGATTTACTACACAAAAAGAATTAAAAGCAAAAACCATATGATTATCTCAGTGGATGCAGAAAAAGCTTTCAATAAAATCCAACATCTCTTCATGATAAAAACTCTCAACAGACTAGTCATCAAAAGAGCATGCCTCAAAATAACAATAGCTATCTGTGATAAACCCACAGCCAACATCATACTGACTGGCCAGAAGCTGGATAACTGGAACAAGAATGCCCAAATGCCCACTCTAACCACTCCTAGTCAACATAGTACTGGAAGTCCTGACCAGAGCAATTTGGAAAAGAAAAAGAAAGAAAAGGCATTCAAATAGGAAAAGACAATCTATCTTCACTAACGATACGATTCTATATCTTAAAGCCCCTAAAGATTCCACCAAAAGGCTCTTACATGTGATAAACAAATTTAGCAAAGTTTCAGGATACAAAATCAATGTACAAAATTCAATAGCAATTCTATACACCAATAGCATTCAAACTGGAAGTCAAGGAATAAGACAATCCCATTTACAGTAGCCACAAAACAATAGAAATACCTATGAATACAACTAACCAAGAAGGTGAAAGATCTCTATAAGAACTACAAAATACTGCTGAAAGAAATCAGACACAACACAAATAAAATGGAAAAATGTTCCATGCTCATGGAAGAATCAGTAACATAAAAATGGCTATACTCCCCAAAGTAATTTACAGATTCTACGCTATTCCTATACAACAACATCGTCGAAATCTCATCACCAGTGTGATAGTATTAGGAGATAGGGCCTTTGGAAGGTAATTAGGTCATAAGAATAAAGTCCTCATAAATGAGATTAATGTCCTTTAAAAAAGGGCAGAGAGCTCTCTGGAGTTCTTTCCTCCATGTGGGGATAGAAGAGAAGTTAGCAATCTGCAACTCAGAAGAGGACCCTCACCAGAACTTGACCATGCTGGCACCATGATCTCAGAGTTCTGGTCCACCAAAACTGGGAGAAAAAAAGTGTATTATCTATAAGCTATCCAGTGCATGGTATTTCATTATAGCAGCCTAAACTAAGACATGAGCCATAGGAAAATGCAAATTAAAACCACAATGCTATATATTCTCGTCATAACAGCTAAACTAAAAAATAGTAACATTACCAAATATTTGTGAGAATATTAAGATTTCTCAGACATTGCTAATGGAAATGTAAAATGGTACAGCCACCCTGGAAGATCATTTGGCCACTTCTGTTTAAAAAATTAAAACTGAGACAACTGAGCATGGCAACTTGCACCTGTAATCCCTATTACTCAGGAGGCTAAAGCAGGAGGCTAACTTGAGCCCAGGAGTTTGAGGCTGCAATGAGCTATGATCACACCACTACACTCCAAATTCGGTGAAAGAGCAAGATTCGGTCTCTTAAAATAAATTAATGCATACATACATACATACTAGGCCTATGCTTACCATGAACTCAAATTAAAACTCCCAGGCATTTCTCCCAGAGAAATAAAAATTTATGTCCTTATAAAATTCTGCAGATGACTATTCACATCAATTTTATTTGTAATAACCAAAACTGTAAGTAACTAAAATGCCCCTCAATAAATGAACAGTTATACAAACTGTGGTACTTCCATACTACAGAAAACTACTCAGTAATAAAAAGGAACAAACTACTGATACATGAAAAAAATCCAATGCCAAAAGGTCACTTCTTATATGATTCCATTCATATGACATTCTCAAAATGGCAAAATTATAGAGACAGAGAATAGTGCATGGTTGCTAGGGTTTACGCACGGTGCTCAGGGTAGGACACATGTTTAACTAGGAATCACTGTAAAAAGATAGCACAAGGAGAACTTTTTGGTAATGAAACATTTCTGATTACAGTAGTGGTTAAACAAACCTATACCAAAAAATGGCAACAGAACCATGTGTACATTGTACCTATATGAAATTCCTGGTTTTGATATTATACTGTAATTACGTAAGATGTAACCATTTGGGGAACTGGGTGTACCATACATCGGACTTCTCTGTACTATCTTTACAACTACATGGTGAAATCTATAATTATTTCTAAATAAAAAGTTAAAAACAACAACTATTTGATGATACACAATAAACTTCTAAATTATTTTATTTAGGGCGAAAAATTATCTACTAAATCCATAAGACTTGAAGAAAATAAGTCATTTGCTCCATAATGTCTACTATGTTGGTGTTGCGAGGGAGACAGGTTTTCAAAAACCTACCTGATGTTTACAATTGTCCAGTTGAGAAATTATAATATTACTATTGGTATAATGTAAAAGTAGACTGCATTGCTTTGCAAAGACATTAAAAGTTAAAATATTGAAAGTGCACCTAGATTTGACTGCATTTGTCTTTCTTCAGAGATTAAATTCCATAAACTGTGGCTAAATCTAAATATATATGAACCTAATTCTAAGAAGTATATCTTTTCAAAGTAATATAGTAAGGTTTCATTTTTGATACATAAAATATTTGCAACAGCAATGAAACGAAAGCAAACTGACCTAGAAGACACTTAAAATAAAAATAATAATTCCTACAAAAAGGTTAAGTAGTCCTATGCATTTACTTGAGATATTTCATGCCACCAAAAAAAAAAAAAACAAAAAAACCAAACACACCCATCTCTTCTAGCCAATATTTAATAATCCCATAGTAATTGATGTATAAAAAAATGTCTTTATGACCTGTTACCACCCAAAAGAATGCATCATAATAACTTTCAAGAATATGTTCTTTGACTTCTAACCTCGGCTCTTCTTTAGAATTACCTGTAAGAAGGAAAAAAAATAAGATTCATATTATACCTATGAAAAATAAAACATCATTCCTTAACAAAAAGTTAAATAGTCCTGGGTACATAATATGCAAGATTGAATTTATAAAACCCAATTTGGAAGGTGATTAAGGAATCTTTTGTCTTAGATTTCTCTAAAATAGCCTTATCTCATTGAATATGAAACTTGCCTAGATTCTAAAAACCTGGCTTTATTAGTTACCTCTAGATTCTTCAATTGTAAGCCAAAAGTACCCAGATTAATGGTTTCAAACTTGAAATTTTTAGACAATATAGTTATCTAAATTAGGAGTTAAACAATATCAATTAAGAAGTTAAACAACATTCTAAAACTCAAAGTCTTCTAAGTCAGACATTTCACAACTATAAAGTAGTACAAATCCACTGCAACATTAAATCTATTATATTTGGACTGGAATTATAATCATTTGAGACCAAAACTGGCTATCTTATGCTGAACAGTTTGTTAAGTAGACTATTTTCAAAATATATAGTCTGTGAAACAAATAAAAGAAGATTTTAGTTGTAAAAAGACTGACAGCATTAGTCAGAAGATGTTTTTTTTTTAAGTATCTACTATTTTAAGTAAATAAACCTACAGTTTATTTTAAAAATCCTAAATTTAAGGCATACATGTATATTCTTCAATATCTTAAGCCTTGTTTTTCCTGCAGAAAAATATTTACATCGACTTTAATTGCCTAGAAATTTGTTGGAATGTTTATAATTGCAAGATAATTTAAAGACCCTAGAAAATGCCAAGACATGTACATTTCTAGGCTTCCAAAAGGCCATCAAATAAATCATATCTAGGCTAGTACTTCTCTGTTCTACAAGATAATATCTTAAGTACTTCAAAAGGAAGTTTGAATACTCAAATGAATTTACAAAATGCTGAGTATATTACATACTCAAAGTTACAAAATACTAAACAGAATTCAACAAGTTTTCTTACTGCTATATTTCTCTCATAGCCTTTCATAACTTTACATAACTATCGTTACATAAGATGTTAGGATTGTGAGAAACTGGATACAAGGTGCATGGGAAGTCTGAACTATTTTTGTACCTTATTTCAAAATACATTTAAAACAAAAAAGTCTACAAAGAGGTAGACTGTAAAAAATAAGTTTCTCTCCTCTATCATCTCCAGTGAACTGTGGTTGCCAGTTTCTTACATATTCTTCTAGAAACTAGTTCTACAATAATATTGTGACTAATCAAGGAAATATAGCATGCTATGTTATCTACACTTATTTGACCACAAAAGCATTTGAGGTAGGGCCTCTATCAACATTATTGAAAATAACGTTTTCAGGAACATATCTGGAAAGCTGTGCCACAGGCAACATATTCTTAACATTATATAAAAACAACAGTAAGAAGCAATCATCTCTACTTATATAAGAGATTTCACCCATAAATCACTCAAGTCTCAAAACAAAGTCATAAGAAATCAAATAATTAGTGATAAGGTTTCACTTTGTGTCCCCACCCAAATCTCATCTCAAATTATAATCCCGTCATGCTGAGGAAAGGAGATAATTGGATCATGAGGGCAGTTTTCCCCATCCCGTTCCCCTGATAGTGAGTAAGTTCTCTTTCCTTTATAAAAAAAACCCCAACTCAGGTATTCCTTTACAGCAGTGTAAAAATGGACTAATACGATGGGGTAATTAGGATAATTTCAAATGCTCAAGAAGAAAGTAAGTTTTGATAAATTTCAAAGTGATATATCTTCTCAGCCTACAGATTAGCAGTCTGTAGAAACATGAATGTTTCCTCTAAAGCAGTGGCCATTAATATTACCATTGGAAATCAGTGATATACACATGGATGAAATCTAACTCCTTAATTAAAATCATTGACTCATAAAAGGCAAAACATCAACTCAATCAACAAAGCTGAGTAAGGTATACAAATCAGAAGTGATGAACTGAGTGGTATTTTTGAAGTGTAATTCTTGCTCAAGAAAAGAAATGTGGATTTTACCTTTGCTGCGGCCAGTACATGTTCCTTGTTAATGACTCTACATTTATTTTCACAAGCGTTTGTCCTGGACTCTTCTGCTAATCGATGAACAAACAGTAAACAGCTCAGATGAACCTTTAAAACAGAAAATCCAAGTGGATTTTTAAATACTGATGCACTGAAATAATGAGTTTTAGAAAATAATTATCTCAAAATTTATTGTTGTACTATTTACTATTGTGATTAAATTAACTCTTCCATTTAGACTTACATAGAATTCAGTCTAATGTAAGTCCATCTTAGGTTCCCTGCAAAGAGACTAGGTCATTGCAATACATGAAACAAGCTTATGTAAGGCAGACCAAAGACCACAAACAATAGCATTTTTTGTAAAGCATCATTATATATCAAACTTATGTAAGATTCACTCAGTAAAAAATATACCTGCTTCTGATACAAATAGATTTGAATTTATAACAAAATTTTAAATTTCCAGAAAATTTTAAATTAAAACATATCAAAAACTACATTTTAGGCTATCATTCTACAATCCGAGGTCAAAGATTTTTAAACAGATATGTTTAATTTGAATATTTATTTAAAAACACGTTACTAGTTGAAATTGTTTAAGTTTGCTTAATTAAAAAGGATATGTACAAAGGCCAAGTTATTTGTCATCTAACAACTATCACAAACTAACCATAGTTACTATTAATAATCTTCAAGACTCTTTTAAAGAAATTATTTAAAATAGATAATATAAGCAGGCTCATAAATTTAAAAGCCTATTAAAAAAAAACTATAGTTATGTAAGATGCCAGCATTGTGGAAAACTGGGTAAAGGATACATGGGAACTGTGTACTATTTTTGCACCCTCTTTTGAGTCTATAAATTATTTTAAAATAGGAATATAAAACAAAAAAGTTTACAAAAGGGTAGACTATCAAAAGTAAGTCTACTCCCCATCTCATCCCCCAGTCAACCATAGCTGACACTTTCTTGTACATTCTTACAGAAACAAGCTCTACATATAAGCAAAACATATGTACTCATCATCAGATAATAAATATATATCAACATTATCTGATATTTTATATATATGTGTATATATATATATATAAACCAGCTCTGATATATTGTATACAATAACATCTTGTTAAGTATTTTACTCAAAATCACCATCCAGAGCAACAAAAGTCTTAACCTATAAGCACATTCCTTGGAATAAAAAGTTAAGGTACATGTAATCCAAGCAAAAGAAAACGTGAAGTGAGCTAAAGTCTTATCCCAATCCCCACTCTAGGATATGTAGTACTCTTATTTATATTATTGCACATATCTTCCCCATCCTTTGCTTCTGCCAGGTACCTGAGGGCACTACTAACTTAGATCCAATTAGATAGTATCTTTAACATGACGTATTTTGTTATTTACATCACAGCAAGTGATTCTTGCAGTTAGAAAAACAATTTATACACAGAACTTAATATTCACTATCTTGTGCACTGCACACTCTCTTCTCCCACTGTTCATTAAATGTTAAATAACTACTAATGTGATGTTTTAATGCTTTATATACTGCAGAAATCTTTAATAGATTGTTAAATAGGTGTTTAATAACATTCTAGTGATATGTGGAGAAAACAGAGGTTTGGGAATTTAAACAAAATGAAGAATCTATGAAAGGTGGATATTCTTTTGGTACATTTTTGATGCACTGTCTTCTTTGAATTCTCACAAGAATTCCGAGGTAAAACATCCTAATTCCAATTATTCACATTATACTGTGTCAATTATTTTTTAAACTTTCAGTGATAGCCCATTTCATTTGGTAGCAAAAACACCCCATAATATGGCACAATTTCATTTGTTAATCTATGCTTTCTACTTCTAAAGGTAAACAGCTTCCAGATACCCTCAGGATAAATTCCAAATTCCTTATCACTAACTCCCACTTGACTGGGGTTCCAGTTTCATCTCTCACCATTCTCAGCTTCCAGTTCTACACTAGGCCTTTTGAACTTCTTTGAGAATTCAAATGCAACCTTGCTCTAGGCATCCTATTTGTTTACAGACTTCTCAAAAAGTCCAAATTCCCCCAATATTTAAGGTTATATTGATCCACAGCACCCTCAACTTCCTATCACTGCATAGACTGCATCATGCTGTAATTTCTGACTTAGCTGCCTTCCTCACTGTACCGTAAGGACAAGAATTATGCCTAGCCTTTTCAACACTGTTAAAGGACAACAGTGTCCTTTAACACATTGCTCAATATGTAGTAGATAGCTAATAATTATTACTGCATGAAGACCCCACCACATCTCCCAAATAAGGCCAAAAGAAATTTTTTTTAAATCAGCCCCAATTAAACTACACTGTCTTAAGACTTAATTCATTAACCTAGATGGAATATCCTTTCCTTTTCATGGTCATGAGCCATGGATGCTGTGATGGTTAATACTGAGTGTCAACTTGACTGGATTGAATAATGCAAAGTATTTTTCCTGGGTATGTCTGTGAGGGTGCTGCCAAAGGAAAATAACAGTTGAGTCAGTGGACTGGGCAGACCCACCCTCAATCTAGGTGGGTACCATCTAATCAGCTGCCAGCAGGGCTAGAATAAAGCAGGCAGAACGTGGAAGTACTTGACTTGCTGAGTCTTCCAGCCTTCATCTTTCTCTCGTGCAGGATGCTTCCTGCCCTTGAACATTGGACTCCAAGTTCTTCAGCTTTTGGACTCTTGGACTTATACTGGTAATTTGCCAGGGGATCTAGGGCCTTCAGCCACAGACTGAAGATTGCATTATCAGCTTCCCTGCTTTTGAGGTTTTCAGACTGGGACTGGCTTCCTTGCTCCTCAGCTTGCAGATGGCCTATTGAGGGACATCACTTTGTGACTGTGTGAGTCAATACTCCTTAGTAAACTCCCCTTCATATATACATCTATCATGTTAGTTCTGCCCCTCTAGCAAACCCTAATACAGATACTGAGACAAATTAGTATCACTTTTTCAGAACTCACAAAATTTTTTTCAAGCAACCTATATCTATGTGATAAAACAGTTAATTGAGTGGTGCTACTCCCGTGTGCTAAGGCTTATATTAAAATGATCAAAACAAAAGTTAGTTTTAGGGTATTTAGTTAGGCATTCAAACTTGAAAAAGATAAGCTATTCAATCAATAATTTACTTTTAAAAATCCGCTTGCTTGAAAAATAAACCAAAAGAAAATTATAAATAAATATTCACTTGACAGTCTCAGTTGACAGAAAGACTGGGACAGCCTGACTTCTTCCTCCCTTTGTCATAGCACTTTTGAATTCTACATGAACTATAAGCACCCAGATATTTGCACAGTATTCCTTTAACAGATGTTAACTCTTTCCCGAGTACCATCCCTGGGGCTAAACCATCGAATAAAGCATAACACAAACAAAATAACAAAATGTCACTGAAGAATAAAATAACACAATGAAATCACAAGTAAAATGCTAGAAATGACATCAATCCACATATAGTTATCATGTATTTCCAAAATTAATTTTACACTCAGAATGTTGAAGCTATTATGCTAAACACTAGGAATACAAAAATTTCCCAGTTCAAGTTCCCAGACTAGTGGGAGAATCAAACCCATAAGGAAAAAGGCAAATGTGTGACACCAGATGATGGAGAAGAAGATAAGACTGATCCTTTCTAAGGATATTAAGGAACGCTTCACTGAAGTAACATTTGAACTGGATTTTGAAAACATTGTAGGTTGCCAAGTAGAGTAGAGTGAAGACATCTTCAAGCAGTAGAAATATCAGGTATAAAAGGCAGCATAAAAGTAGATTAATTTTGTGTTAAAGATAATGGGAGACAGAAGAGAAGATATTCATTCTCCTCAAGAAGCTGCATACCACACTAGGAGACATCAACATATGAAACTCCTAGACAACAATCCAACAGCTCAATTATATAATGTATACTCTTAGGGCTCACCAAGTAAAAAAAAAAAAAAAAAAAAAAAAAACAAAGATCAAAACAAACTTCCTTAACTATAAAAAAAAACTTTGTGGATGATGTAGGATGCCTGCCTGCTATGTAAGATTATGAAGTGTCAACCGTGAGCAGAAAACTATAAAGAAACCAAGGTAATGCATGCCATATACAAGACAGTGAAGGGGAACTGTTAAATGAAAGCCCGAGATGAGGAGCATACTAACTGGGAAAAGCTGGTAACCAAAGAACATTCTATCCCCCATCAACGCAACCACTTGAAATTTCAACTCACCCACCTTCTCATGCCACCTGGATCCCACCGCACAATGGAGTCCCTCTGTCCATGGGTACTTTGGGGCAGAAAGGGGTAGATGTGGGAGGATGCTGACTAGAGAAATTTCTAAGCCATTTGCACCAGTTGGTAGTCTCTTGGATATCTTTGATAGGTACATTTCCGCTCCCTCCATTTAGAAGCCCCAGTGAAAGCTCCATAATAAACTACTTAAAAATGTTTTGCAAGTGAATTTCATTTTAATTCCATTCATTTGTGCCACCGCTATCAGCAGCATAGGGTAGTTAATTGGGGTGGGGCACAAGACAGCCTGTATTGTCTTTTCTTACAGAATTTAAGAAAGGAACAAAAAGAAGGGCAGTGGATAGAAGTAATACTTTTTTGGGGGGAAAATGTGTTTTTGTTCTGTTTTGGCTTCAGAGAACAAATAAGGGGAAAAGTGGAGATAATTCTAGAGTAGTTTAGCAAAAAGGAAGCAACAGATTGGGTGCCAATGGAGAACTCTAGGAAGCAAAAGAGAAAAGAGAAGGTAGAAAAACCAATGTCGCTTAAGAACAGTTAGGATGATGCATTCCCAAGACTATCCCTGTAGTATGCTCCTGTTATCCACAATGGAGTACCTTGATCTTCTGGAAATTATGTGTCCATTTACAATAGTTCCTTTACTCAAAGAGCTCTTGTGACAAGGTACCAAACATGCCTCCTGTGTTTAAACCTACAGAAACAGTGTTCATTGTGCCAGAGGAATATGTGTTCCAGGCATTCAACGCAAAAACTGAATTTATTTCAAGACAGAAACATTATTATACAGTGGTTTGACTGGGACTTCTAATTAGGAGAACATTAGGCTTCAGGTATTATAAGTCAAATAAGACTTCAGTAGTCTAGCTTAAAAACTGACAAGGTGTTCTAGTATTTGTCTAGGAAAATGAATTAACAGTTGAGAGCATTCTTCCTACAAATAAACTTTCGCATCAGGGTCTTTTAGTAAGCACCCTAACCCAGGGGAAACAGGGCAATGTTTGGTTAAATCCGTAAAAAGAGGAGAGGGAAGGAGGCATGGGAGGAAAGAGGAGAGAGGGAGGGAGGCGCTTAAAAGGCATGTGAGCAATGCCTTTTACAACAGCTAAATAAAAATGACCCAGACTGAGTTCCAAAATCTATTTTTTAAAGAGTGTATCTTTCATACCCTTTGCAAGTACATTAATCACAATGCCAGACCGTGTTCCTAAACAGCAATACTTAAAAACTGTAAGCAGCAACGTACGCTAAGCTCATGTAACTAAGAGCCTATCTTTAAAAAGATCCAGATATTTACATTTCGGCGGGGCCCGGGACAACTGAGCGCCAGGAATACGAACTGACACGCCAGGGTGGGGCATACGTAACTTGTCATTGCTGGAACTGCCTTAAACATGGGCCTGAAAGAGCTATTGATTGGCGCTATTGATTGGCTCGGGGCGGAAAAAAAAAAAAAAGGCTAGAGGTTATTGCCCTTACTTTCCTGTCCCCCATTCTCAGCCCGAGAAGGGATGGAATCTCACCAGTAAATCACCACTTTTCTCCAGACGAAGTTGAGGCTTCTGTCGCTTGAAGACTCGCTTTAGAAAGCCACGGGGAGCCTTCCGCTTTATCTGCTTCCTTTGGGAGACTGTGCTCGACAGTGCCATCCTCTCCGTCAGGTATCAGCTGCCTCAGCTTCCGAGGTGTTCCCTGCACCGCACACAAGCTCAGGGAAAACAATCCGGTCCCTGTGACGCTTCTTCAGGCCCAGCAACCGCGATCCAAACGTTCGAATGCGCCGCCAACGGAACGCGCCCGGCGCTCAGTAGTGACGTTAACCCTGCGCAAGCCCCGCCCCTGAGGCGCCTGGCTGTAGGTGGAAAACGGCCACGGTGGGCGGGTCCCGGGAACACCCTGACGTCATTAAGAGTCTGCATCCTCCTTGTATCACTTTTTGTATTATAACTTTTGTTCTGTGGAATTATTTCTCCTAGGTTCCCTAGAGATGATTGGAAGTTGTGAAGAAATACATTGGAAAGCCAAGGCAGTTTTTAAGCACTCACCCTATACTGTCCCTAATACCAATGAACAGAAGTTTGTGTTGTTTTATCAGGATTCCTAAAAAAACCAAGGCAATGCCTTCCTAGCAAGAAAGGCATGATGTTCAGATACTAACAGTTAACAATTTTACACTTCTGCATAATTTTATTTGATCTTACCTTAGGTCTTCTCATGATTCTAGCTTTTCTTTGCAAATGCTGCTCCCTTTAAAGGCTCCTCTCACTTAGCCTAGCAATAACTTTCAGTTGTAGTTTAAATGCTAACTCATTGAACTTTTTGTAACTTCTTCAAGCTGTTAATTTCTCTATCATCTGTGCTACCACAGAGGTATTAATAGTTATCACCTTTATGAGCAGCAAAATCACCTGGGAGACTTTTTAAACTGCGGTTTGCAGGGCCCCGCTCCCAGAGTTTCTCCTTCACTAGATCTGGGGAGGATTCAAAACTTTGCAATTCTAACAACTCAGGAGACATTGGCATTTGCTAGTCTCTGGACCAATTTTTGATTTTAATCATAATTGTCTCTAATACTATCTCGATTGTGATCTCAATATTATATTATTGTGATTTCACCCACACAAATGATCCTTCTACTATCTGGCCTCCCATTTTTTTTTTCTCTTTTTCCCCCCATTTATTTATTTTATTGCATTTTAGGTTTTGGGGTACATGTGAAGAACATGCAAAATTGTTGCATAGGTACACACGTGGCAGTGTGATTTGCTGCCTTCCTCCCCATCACCTACATCTGGCATCTCTCCCCTTGCTATCTCTCCCCAGCTCCCCACCCCCCACCGTCCCTCCCCTATTTCCCCCCACCTGACCCCAGTGTGTAGTGCTCCCCTCCCTGTGTCCATGTGTTCTCATTGTTCAACACCCACCTATGAGTGAGAACATGTGGTGTTTGATCTTCTGCTCTTCTGTCAGTTTGCTGAGAATGACGGTTTCCAGGTTCATCCATGTCCCTACAAAGGACCCAAACTCATCGTTTTTGATGGCTGCATAATATTCCATGGTGTATATGTGCCACATTTTCCCTGTCCAGTCTATAGTTGATGGGCATTTGAGTTGGTTCCAGGTCTTTGCTATTGTAAACAGTGCTGCAATGAACATTCGTGTGCACGTGTCCTTATAGTAGAACAATTTGTAATCCTTTGGATATATACCCAGTAATGGGATTGCTGGGTCAAATGGAATTTCTATTTCTAGGTCCTTGAGGAATCGCCACACTGTCTTCCACAATGGTTGAACTAATTTACACTCCCACCAATAGTGCAAAAGTGTTCCTATTTCTCCACATCCTCTCCAGCATCTGTTGTCTCCAGATTTTTTAATGATCGCCATTCTAACTGGCATGAGATGGTATCTCAATGTTGTTTTGATTTGCATTTCTCTGATGACCAATGATGATGAGCATTTTTTCATATGTTTGTTGGCCTCATGTATGTCTTCTTTTGTAGCGTGTCTGTTCATATCCTTTGCCCACTTTTGAATGGGCTTGTTAGGTTTTTTCTTGTAAATCTGTTTTAGTTCTTTGTAAATTCTGGATATCAGCCCTTTGTCAGATGGGTAAACTGCAAAATTTTTTCCCATTCTGTTGGTTGCCGATTCACTCTAATGACTGTTTCTTTTGCTGTGCAGAAGCTATGGAGTTTGATTAGGTCCCATTTGTCTATTTTGGCTTTTGTTGTCAATGCTTTTGGTGTTTTGGTCATGAAGTCCTTGCCTACACCTATGTCCTGAATGGCTTTGCCTAGATTTTCTTCTAGGGTTTTTATGGTGTTAGGTCTTATGTTTAAGTCTTTAATCCATCTGGAGTTAATTTTAGTGTACGGTGTCAGGAAGGGGTCCAGTTTCTGCTTTCTGCACATGGCTAGCCACTTTTCCCAACACCATTTATTGAACAGGGAATCCTTTCCCCATTGCTTGTTTTTGTCTGGCTTGTCAAAGATCAGATGGTTGTAGATATGTTGTGTTGCCTCCGAGACCTCTGTTGTGTTCCATTGGTCTATATCTCTGTTTTGGTACCAGTACCATGCTGTTTTCATTACTGTAGCCTTGTAGTATAGTTTGAAGTCCGGTAGTGTGATGCCTCCCGCTTTGTCCTTTTTGCTTAGAATTGACTTGGCTATGCGGGCTCTCTTTTGGTTCCATATGAAGTTTAAGGTGGTTTTTACCAGTTCTGTGAAGAAGGTCATTGGTAGCTTGATGGGGATAGCACTGAATCTGTAAATTACTTTGGGCAGTATGGCCATTTTCACAATATTGATTCTTCCTAACCATGAACATGGAATGTTTCTCCATCTGCTTGTGTCCTCTCTTATTTCATTGAGCAGTGGCTTGTAGGTCTCCTTGAAGAGGTTCTTTACGTTCCTTGTTAGTTGTATTCCTAGGTATTTTATTCTCTTTGTGGCAATTGTGAATGGAAGTTTGTTCTTGATTTGGCTCTCTTTAAGTCTGTTATTGGTGTATAGGAATGCATCTGATTTTTGCACATTGATTTTGTATCCTGAGACTTTGCTGAACTTGCTTATCAGTTTCAGGAGATTTGGGGCTGAGATGATGGGGTCTTCTAGATATACAATCATGTCGTCTGCAAATAGAGACAATTTGACTTCCTCCTTTCCTATTTGAATGCCCTTTATTTCTTTTTCTTGCCTGATTGCTCTGGCCAGAACTTCTAATACTATATTGAATAGCAGTGGTGAGAGAGGGCATCGTTGTCTGGTGCCACATTTCAAGGGGAATGCTTCCAGTTTTTGCCCATTCAGTATGATATTGGCTGTTGGTTTGTCATAAATAGCTTTTATTATTTTGAGATACGTTCCATCGATACCTAGCTTATTCAGGGTTTTTAGCATAAAGGGCTGTTGAATTTTGTCAAAGGCCTTCTCTGCATCAATTGAGATAATCATGTGGTTTTTGTCTTTGGTTCTGTTTATGTGGTGAATTACGTTTATAGACTTGCGTGTGTTGAACCAGTCTTGCATATTCGGGATGAAGCCTACTTGATCATGGTGGATAAGCTTTTTGATGTGCTGTTGCATCAGCTTGTCAGTATTTTATTGAAGATTTTTGCATCTATGTTCATCATGGGTATTGGCCTGAAGTTTTCTTTTTTTGTTGAGTCTCTACCGGGTTTTGGAATCAGGATGATGTTGGTCTCATAAAACGATTTGGGAAGAATTCCCTCTTTTTGTATTGTTTGGAATACTTTCAGAAGGAATGGTACCAGTTCCTCTTTGTATGTTTGGTAGAATTCGGCTGTGAACCTGTCTGGACCTGTGCTTTTTTTGCGTGGTAGCTCTTAATTGCTGCCTCAACTTCAGACCTTGTTATGGGTCTGTTCAGGGTTTTGGCTTCTTCCTGGTTTAGGCTTGGGAGGAGGCAAGTGTCCAGGAATTTATCCATTTCTTCCAGGTTTATTAGTGTATGTGTATAGAGTTGTTTGTAATAACCTCTAATGATGGTTTGAATTTCTGTGGAATCTGTGGTGATATCCCCTTTATCATTTTTTATTGCATCAATTTGGTTATTCTCTCTTTTCTTTTTTATTAATCTGGCTAGTGGTCTGTCTATTTTGTTGATCTTTTCAAAAAACCAGCTCCTGGATTTATTGATTTTTTGAAGGGTTTTTTGTGTTTCTATCTCCTTCAGTTCTGCTCTGATCTTAACTATTTCTTGTCTTCTGCTAGACTTTGAGGTTTTTTGATCTTGCTCCTCTAGCTCTTTCAGTTTTGATGATAGGGTGTCAATTTTTGATCTCTCTTTGCTTCTCATGTGGGTACTTATTGCCATATATTTTCCTCTAGAGACTGCTTTAAATGTGTCCCAGAGATTCTGGTATGTTGTGTCTTCATTCTTGTTGGTTTCGAAGAACATCTTTATTTCTGTCTTCATTTCATTGTTTATCCAGTCAACATTCGAGAGCAAGTTGTTCAGTTTCCATGAAGCTGTGCGATTCTGGGTTAGTTTTTGAATTCTGAGCTCTAACTTGATTGCACTGTGGTCTGAGAGACTGTTTGTTACGATTTCCGTTCTTTTGCATTTACCGAGGAGTGATTTACTCCCAATTATGTGGTCAGTTTTAGAGTAGGTGTGATGTGGTGCTGAGAAGAATGTATATTCTGTGGATTTGGGGTGGAGAGTTCTGTAAATGTCTATTAGGTTTGCTTGGTCCAGGTCTGAGTTCAAGTCCTGGATATCCTTGTTAATTTTCTGTCTGGTTGATCTGTCTAATATTGACAATGGGGTGTTAAAGTCTCCCACTATTATTGTGTGGGAGTCTAAGTCTCTTTGCAAATCATTAAGAACTTGCCTTATGTATTTGGGTGCTCCTGTATTGGGTGCGTATATATTTAGGATCGTTAGCTCTTTTTGTTGCATTGATCCTTTTACTATTATGTAATGTTCTTCTTTGTCTCTTTTGATCTTTGTTGCTTTAAAGTCTAATTCATCAGAGATGAGAATTGCAACTCCTGTTTTTTTTTGCTCTGCATTTGCTTGGTAAGCCTTCCTCCATCCCTTTATTTTTAGCCTTTGTGTATCCTTGCATGTGAGATGGGTTTCCTGGATGCAGCACACCGATGGGTTTTGGCTTTTTATCCAATTTGCCAGTCATGTCTTTTGATTGGGGCATTTAGTCCATTTACATTTAGGGTTAATATTGTTATGTGCAAATTTGATACTGCCATTTTGGTGCTAGCTGGCTGTTTTGCCCTTTAGTTGATGCAGATTCTTCATTGTGTTGATTCTCTTTACCTTTTGGCATGTTTTTGGAGTGGCTGGTACTTGTTGTTCCTTTATATGTGTAGAGCCTCTTTCAGGAGCTCTTGTAGAGCTGGCCTGGTGGTGACGAAATCTCTGAGTACTTGCATGTTCACAAAGGATTTTATTTTTCCTTCACTTATTAAGCTTAGTTTGGCTGGATAGGAGATTCTGGGTTGAAAGTTCTTTTCTTTAAGGATGTTGAATATTGGCCCCCACTCTCTTCTGGCGTGTAGGGTTTCTGCTGAGAGATCTGCTGTGAGTCTGATGGGCTTCCCTTTGTGGGTAACCTGACCTTTCTCTCTGGCTGCTCTTAGTATTTTCTCCTTCATTTCAACCCTGGTGAATCTGACAATTATGTGCCTTGGGGTTGCTCTTCTTGATGAACATCTTTGTGGTGTTCTCTGTATTTCCTGGACTTGAATGTTTGCCTGCCTTGCTAGGTTGGGGAAGTTTTCCTGGATAATATCCTGAAGAGTATTTTCCAGCTTGGATTCATTCTCTTCGTCACATTCGGGTACGCCTATCAAACGTAGATTAGGTCTTTTCACATAGTCCCACATTTCTTGGAGATTTTGTTCATTCATTTTTACCCTTTTTTCTCCAGTCTTGCCTTCCCGTTTTATTTCATTGAGTTGATCTTTGACCTCTGATATCCTTTCTTCTGCTTGGTCAATTTGGCTGTTGATACTTGTGCATGCTTCGCGAAGTTCTCGTGTTGCGTTTTTCAGCTCCATCAATTCACTTATATTCCTTTCTATTTTGTCCATTCTCGTTAGCATTTCGTCAAATCTTTTTTCAAGGTTCTTAGTTTCTTGGCATTTGGTTAGAACATGTTCTTTAAGTTCACAGAAGTTTCTTACTACCCACCTTCTGAAGTCTGATTCTGTCATTTCATCACACTCGTTCTCCCTCCAACCTTGTTCCCTTGCTGGTGAGGAGTTGTGATCCCTTTTAGGAGGAGAGGTGTTCTGGTTTCGGGTGTTTTCATCCTTTTTGCGCTGGTTTCTTCTCATCGTTAAGGATTTATCCACCTGTCGACTTTGTAGTTGCTGGCTTTCAGATTGGGTCTCAAATCTTTCAGATTGACGTTCTGTTTGTTGATGATGAGGTTATTTCTGTTTCTTGGTTTTCCTTCTGACAGTCTGGCCCCTCTGCTGTAGGTCTGCTGAGGTTCACTCCAGGCCCTGCTTGCCTGGGGTTCACCTGCAGCAGCAGCTGAACAGTAAGGGTTGTTACCAGTTTTCTTCTTCTGCTATCTTTGTCCCAGAAGGATACCCGCCTATTGTCAATCTGATCTCTCCTTTATGAGGTGGCTCTTTGGATATATAGGGGTCAGGGAGCTGCTTGAGGAGACGGTCTCTTCTTTATTGGAGCTCAAATGGTGAGCTGTGAGCTCTGTTGTTCATTCAGAGCTGCTGGGCAGGTACTTTTAGGTCTGCTGCAGCAGAACTCATAAACTGCTTTTTGTTCCCAGGTGTTCTGTCCCAGGGATTTAGGGCTTTAAGAGTTTCGGTTATGCTGCTGCCTTCTCTCTTTTTTTTTTTTTTTTCCTTCAGAGCTGCCCTGCCCAGCAAGGAGGCAGCCTAGTCATGGTCGGCCTGTAGAGGCTTTGCTGAACTGCTGTGGGCTCCGCCCAGCTGCCGAGTGAACTTCCCTGCAGTCTTGTTTATATGGGTGTAGTTAGAACTGCCTTGGCGAAGGTGGCCCGCCTCTATTGAGGCAGAGTCTCTCTGTAGTGGCGGGTTGCCTTGGCAACGGCGGGCTGCCTCAGCATTGGCTGACTACCTCCGGAGTGGTGGGCTGCCTCGGTAGTGGCGGATGCCGCTCCCCCACAGAGCTGGACCGTCCGGGGTTCAGCTGCGCTTGCTATGAAACTCTCAATCCAGAGTTTCTGGTTGCTGTTCATTTGTGCGGGTGGGACAGGCCGAGTCTGATCACCTGGCTCCCTGCCTCAGATCCTTTTTTAAGTTGGGGTTCCAGTCGCCTGTTGAAGAGGCACTGGGGTCTGTTTGTTTTCCCCTGCGGCTACTCACTGCACTGGCTTAAACAGTGGCACTGAGGTTTGTGGCACTTTTTTTTTTTTTTTTTTTTTTTGCCCTGGAATCTACTCTCCTGGTTCTCTGCTCAGTCCCCTTTTTAAACAGATGAATGGGCGACTTCCTGTGGCTCCAATCGCCAGCCAAAGGGGCACCCGGACCAGTGTATTTTGTACGGAGAACCGCTGCTCTGGGGCGCCAACAAAGCAGCCGCACGGGGCAAAGCAGCAGTGCCGGCTGGCACAGCCACACTGGCCAAAACAGCCGTGCTGGTGACCTGTGGAGCTCCTCCGCCTGGGAATTTCCTAGTCTATGGGCAATAAAAATGCGGTATCCACTCATCCTCTGCGCTTTCACTGGGAGCTGCAATTCTGAGCTGTTCCTAAATGGCCATCTTGGATCCTCGACCCTGGCCTCCCATTTCTAAGACCTCCAATCATCTCCTACATCCTTGAGTTATTCATGCCTGTGGTCATACACTAGGTGATGTCATTACTAAATACCTTACCTTTTCATATTTTCAATTTAGTTGTCTTTCTTCAACCGCATCTTCTATTTTTGAACTTACTTTCTCCAACAATTCTTCCATGCTGCTGGGACTACTCTCCTATCTTTTTGGTTCCTCTCACCCCACCCCTAACCCTGCCACCCCACTCTATGCCTTATCTTCCCTCCTGTAGTCCATTGTGCATTGGTCATCATAATACTCCCCTATATTTCTCCACAACTTTCTAGCTATTCTCTTTTATCCTCTTGCAAACCTGGCAAAATTCTTCTTTTCTTTCTAACCCCATTCTCAATCTCCAGTGATAATATTGCTTCATCAACAAAATAAAATTAAAAAAAAATTCATAGAGACTTACTGTATGCTTTCACTACCCCATCTACCCATCAAACACTACCTGCTCCCATGGATGAGATGCCAACTACTCCACTTGTGCCTGAGATCAAGACCCTTCCCTTTCTTAAGGACATTTCTATGAAATTCTACTTGCTCCTCTGCTTCATGAATTTTCCTTCTTTGCCAATTTTTTGCCATCAGCACCCACAGAGCTTATAATAGCTCCAATCTTTTGAAAACCCTCTCTTAATCTGACCTTTTGCTGTTGTCCTTCTACAAAACAAAACAAAACTAGAAATGGTTGGCTAAATTATATGTCTCCAAATAACTGTTCTCTCATTGTCTGTTGAAGCCAGTACAATCAGACTTTTGTACCTGTCTCTTCACCAAAATTGTTTTGGTCAACATGACCAATGGCATCATACTTGCAAATCCTATGGCCAATTTTCAGGCTTCAGCTTATTTGTCCAACCAAAAGTATTTGTTGACTTTCATGATTTCTCCTTCCATGAAACAATATCTTAAATTGGATATGATTCTCTTTTGTTTTTCTTTGTGCTTGATAACATCTCAGTCTCCTTTTTTGGTTCTTCCTTTTCTCTTTGATCTCTAAATCTTAGAGTACTCCATGACCCCATCCTGAGATTTCTCCTCTATCTACACTCACACCCCATGTGATCTTGTCCAGTATTATGGCTTTAAATACCAAATTTACATCTCCAGCTGATTCTCCCCTAAACTTCAGGCATGTATATCCATTTCTCTGATGGACAAGAATTCTAAAAGTCATCTTAACACTATGTCTAAAATTAGGTCTTGATCTGCCCTTGCACCCCAAACATGTTTCTCCCACTCTCTTACCTATCTTATCTGCTGGCACTTCCAACCTTCCAGTTACTCAAGCCAAAATCCTGGAATTGTCTTAGCTCCTCTCTTTATCTAACTCCACATTAAATCTTTCAGGAAATCCTATCAGTTGTACTTGCAGTATCTGATCACATCTCACCACTTCCGCTGCTACCACATTTGGACTAGACACCATCATTCACATGGCTTATTGCAACATCCTCCTGAGAGTGTCTCAATCTGTTTCTATTCTTTCTTAACAGAACAGCTGGATTTAATTCAGATTATGTCATCTCAGACCTCACTAGTCATTTCCCACCTCCCTTAAAAATAGAAAACAAAGTCCCTATAGTGACCTGAGGCCTTATGTGCCCCCTGCAAATGCACATGCACTTACAAATATATAATTAACTTACTTATCTTCTATAATTGAGCAACTCACTCTCCACCAGCTGTGTTAGTCTCCTTAATATCTTCAATGCTTCAGATGTTTGTGTCCCCCCAAAATTCATATGTTGAAATCTAATCATCAATGTGATGATATTAGGAGGTGAAGCCTTTGAGAAATGATTATGTCATGAGTGCAGAACCCTCATAAATGGGATTAATGCCCTTATAAAAGAGGTCCCAGGGAGCTGCATTCCCTTTTCCACCAGGTGGGAACATAGCTAGAAGGCACACCATCTATGAAATCCAAAAGAGGGCTCTCACCAGAACCTGACTTTGCTGGCACCATGATCTCAGACTTCCCATCCTTCAGAACTGTGAAAACAAATTTCTGCTTTTTATAGGTGCTGTAGTTTGAATGTTCCCTTTAAAACTCACACTGAAACTTAATCCGTAATGTGGCAATATTGAGAGGTGAGGCCTTTAGGAGGTGATTGGGTCCCAAGGATTATGCCCTTATGAATGATTTAATCCATCCATGGGTTAATGAATTAATGGGATATCATGGGAGGGGAACTATGGCTTTATAAGATGAGGAAGATAGTCCTGAGCTAACACATTAGCATGCTCAGCCTCCTCACCATGTGATATTGTGCACCATCTCAGGAATTTACCGAAAGCCTTCAATGGCAAGAATGCCCTCAGCAGATGCAGCCCCTTCACCTTTAACTTCCTGGCCTCCAGAATTGTGAAAAATAAAGTTCATTTCTTAAAGATTAACCAATGTTAAGTATTCTGTAATAGCAAGAGAAAATTAACTTAGACATTAAGTCCCCCAATCTATGGTGTTTTGTTGTATCATACCAAGCACACTAAGATAATATCTTTCAGATGGACTTCAAGTACATGCAACAAAACACACTCACCCATCAGGTGTTCACACTAGCTATTCCCTCTGTTAAGAATGCTTTTTGGCTGGGCACAGTGGCTCACGCCTGTAATCACAGCACTTTGGGAGGCTAAGGCAGGCAGATCACCTGAGGTTCTTATATTTTTTTAATGACAGAGTATCACTATGTTGCCTAGGTTGGTCTTGAACTCCCGGCCTCGAGTGATCCTCCTATCTCAGCTTTCCAAGTCACTGGGATTACAGGTATGAGCCACCCAACTAAATTTGTCATTTTTAAAATATATGAATGAGTCCATTTTGATGTCAACAACTTTTATATTTCTCAATCTTAATCAAGACTTTTGTTTAAAACACTTCTGATAAATCATCCTGTAGTGAGGTTTTGATTGTCCCATGGTGCTAGGATGGACTTATCTTGGGTTATTGGTCTGGTCCCACTTTGGAGGGAGTAAATGACTACTACGAGTCAGCGTCAAAATCCATTTAGCCAGATTTGAACAACAGAAAGGTTTCAAAAAAGTGGCTCTCCAGCTAAACCTGTATTCCATTATTAAGTTCAATTTTTGTCTGCTCCATAGTCTTTTGCTATCATATCAAAATGCTGGGTCAGCTTTATGCTGTTAGTACTTGCATTACTGCACAAATTTAACAAGTAACAGATACACAGCTTAAAAAGGGGAAATACAAGGTAAATTAGCATTATTATGACAATCGCAGTTTGCATAATGGCATTGAGCCACAAACCTAGGCTTAAAGGCAACCAGTTTAAATAAATCAATGACCACTGTCTTCCAAGTGGAAAAACTGGGCATTGAAAGGAATTAAGTTTCATTATGCTAGGGAGCCATTTTCTGCCATCTCGGAAAAGCTGTCTAGAGCATGAAAATATAAACACCTTGTCTTGCTTTGTAGTTTAAATACCTCTGGCTATAGTGTCAGGTAGCGTGGTAAATTTTCTGTGTAACCCATGCATTAGGCATGAGACTTGTTCCTTAAAATTCATCTACTTTCAGCTTATAGGGCTCCAAGAAGAGAGTAGTTTCTCTTTTAATAACTCTATGGAAGAAAATTGGATTGGAGGAAACTAGAAGAATTTAGGATCTAGTCTAGTCTACAGGTAGACAACAAGAACTTGAAAGCAATGTGCAGAGCTACAATCTAATAATAGGTGTACTATAGCTTTCCTTTAGAAATGTAACTTTTTCTCTCTATATGGGTAACATAGAAATCAGATTTTAAAACCTCTTTGGACTAGGAAGCCAAACCAAGGTAGATTTTAGATTTTACTTGTTGTCTTCAAGTCCCTAGACCTGCCGAAAAGTGACAGTTTTTATTCATTCACTGTAAGCCTGGGAACCCTTGAAGTGAGGTATTCTATGCATATTCTCAAATATGACACTGTAGTCAAAGCCTTGGTAACATAACCAGCATTTCCAATCACATCAAGAGAGAGAAGATTTTTTATTGAACTTACACAAATATGTATAGTGCCATAAGAATACACACTAATAGTTTCAAAATTTGGGGGGAACCAAGTAGAAAAAGCAAATGTCTCCACCTTTATTCACAGAAGTATACTTTACCAAATTGCTGTATAAATTACTCTAGATAAAAAATTTTCTGGCCGGGTGCAGCGGCTCATGCCTATAATCCCAACACCTTGGGAGGCCAAGGCAGATGGATTACCTGAGGTCAGGAGTTCAAGACCAGCCTGGCCAAATAGTGAAATCCCGTCTCTACTAAAAATACAAAAATTTGCTGGCTGTGGTGGTGGGCATCTGTAATCCCAGCTACTCAGGAGGCTGAGGTAGGAGAATCCCTTGAACCCAGGAGGCAGAGGTTGCAGTGAGCTGAAATCATGGCATTGCACTCCAGCCTGGGTGACAAGAGCAAGACTCCGCCTTTAAAAAAAACTATTAAATATGGAAAAGATACCTAAGTTAATAACTAACAATGCTTCAAATAAAAGTTATTATTATTTTTGTCAGTTATTCAAGGTGATATAATTAATTTTTTATCTTTTTTAGCAGTTTCATGAGCCAATCAGTTTCTTTATGGAGAGTTCTGGAAACTTTTTGTTTAGTCCATTTATCTTAAAGTTTTTTGAAACCTGTATTTAACAGTACTTGTTAGACTCTTTTCCATGAATCTGGTTGTAGGTGTCTTTAGAAAAAATTCAAAACATTAACTATAGATGACAAAAACTTAGAATAATTATGGCTAAAAATCTAATGAAAGTTTACCATAACCAGAAAATGACAAAATTTGGTTGTTTTGTGGCATGCAACAGAATAATTGGAATTATGGCTGATGACATACTAGATTTCTAAAATATAATTTTGGAACGATTAGAATTTTGGAACATTCATATCAATAACATATTCTTAAACATAAATGAAAGAAAATCTTGTATCACCTGTCATTTGACAGTGCTTCCCATGTAATTTACCAAATAAGCCTAATCATTTAATGTCTCCACTAGGTAAGAGATACATCTTTTGAGGCCCTTCCAGGGCCCAAATGGAAGATTAATTTTAGGTCAAAAAGAACTAACTTACAATCTTGATTTCAAGAGAGCCTGCCAAAGATGTCAAAAGATTGAAAACACCAATAAAAACAAAACCACAGGTCACTGTGAAATAATAGTCATTTATTTAATCAGAGTGATAATCAGAAAACTTAAAGAAAGCTACTTGACTGTAATAGCCTTAACCCTTTCAAATCTCAGTTTTTCTACATAATCAGTAAAATCTAAAAAGACAGCCCAGGAAAATATCTTTATAAATACAACATCTTTGGGGTTTTATTTAGGCTAATTAAAAAGGTTTAAAAAAATCTGCAGGTGATTGCTTTCTCTTAGGAAAAGCCCATTTAGATAATCCATAAGTCAAACAAGATGGAAAAGTCCTTGGAATCCATCAGAAACAGAGTGTGTGTCCAAGGTTATGAATATATACCACATTAAAGAGGAGTATAAACAAGAAAAGTAGTACCTTGAACTGTAGAATACATGGCTTTAGTAACAGCATGGGAAGTGTCCTCATTACATAGAACAATTCAGACACATCAAGATAAGTCAAGACTACAGAATCAAGTTATACTGGAGGAAAACATTATTTTTCTGGAACTTAAGGACAGAAATTTTAGTGACAGTTAGGACATCAGAGTTAGAACCAGAGAAAAGGGTTACAAAAGCTGATGAGAAAATTCAAAGTGAGAGTTATTACCCTGCCAAGTAAAAAGATTTAACTTCTGGAAAGGAGAGCGAGCTGAAGGCAATGATGTACAACCTGCAAATTATGTGCAAAATATGGCAAAAGTCAAACTTCTGAGATATTAATCTGAGAAGCTTCAAAAGTAAAACTCTACTTTAAAAACTGAAATTACCATTACAAATGGAGAAGACAGCATTTCCAACCTGAAATTAGGGAATAAACAGATCACAGGAAGAAATGTGGCAGAAATAAAAAATGTCTACAATTTAAAAGATGGCTGTTGAAGAAACAGATTTCAAAACTAAATCAAAACCTCTTGCAATTTTACTAAGAGCGGATCAATACTTCAAGGAAAACTTGTTGTAACTTTAGGGAAACAAATCTTTAGTTTTGCATCCATGTATTTTTTAAATTAAAGATCAATCTTTTAAAAGACAAATAATTTTCTTCTGATTGTAGCCCATTTGATTACACATAAAATTCCTTTCATAAATTCATTATTAATGAACCTTTTACAGCCTGCATAGACCCTCAACAACATAATTAGACATTATGATTTGTCCTATACTTACTCTTAAATAACCATACAAGATTCTTTTTCATATAAAATTATTCTCTTTTCTTTTTAACTTTTCTTACCAAACGTACATCTTCATACTCATAACCTCTTATATCTCTCTCCTACTTACGGGTTTCTTTCTATCTTTTTATTTTCTTTCTAAATCCATGTTTTCAAACAACTTTGTAATAAGATCAGACAAATAAAATTAGTTTTTTTCAATAGAGAACACATTCTAATGTCTTTCTAATGCCCCTGCACAGCACACAAGGCAATTTTTACGCTGGACAGTGATACCTTATATTATTGCTCTGAACTTAAAATTTTGACCTGTTTGATCTGAAATTACAACTTTTATAAACATTTATCCAGTTTTTAAAAAATATTAATATTTCAATTAATTGTTCCAATACCCTAAGCACTTATTAGCCAGAAAAACCTAAATTTACATTAAAAGGGATGACTCAGATGTCTAGGTTGATGGTTGCCATAGAGCTATCGTAAGTTGTAAAGCTGTAATTAAAAGCTCTTTAAGACTTTTTTGATTTTCCTATCTTTGCTGCAATGCTATCAGCAGTGAGTTTTATCTCAACACCCAAAGACGCATCAGCAGATTCAAAGTAGAAAGAAAAAATAGAGAAAAAGAGAATGAAGAAGATTTTACATGTTAACTCTATATTTGCAGAGATTTTTAAAAAGAGATTTAAGCTATGACCATCTGGTCTCTAAATTTTTCTTGTTGTAATTTGCCCATCAGTTTAAAAATGAACATAATAATGAGCAGTGGGCTATGTTATAGCCAGCTGGAGTCCCAGAAACGCTGGTAAATCTTAATGTTGGAGAAGTCCATTTAAGTTCTTATTAAGCTCTCAAAAGCAAAGAAAATCCCATAAATCCTGTAATAGAATGTCAGGAGTTTCTATACCAGTGTTTTAGATGATGATTTCCCTGGTGGCTTTTAGTTAGCCATTCTGCACCCATCATTTTTGTAATGTTTAGTTTTGCTTTTGGAAGATTTTTAGAAACAAACAAGAGAAAAGAGACAAATTATTTACAGACATATGTAACTAAACCAAAATAAAACCAAATTCAGAGTGCTCACAAAAATTTTAACCCACGTGTGTAGATCAAACAAAAGATTAAATTAGGCATGCAGAAAAGAGCAAAACTAAATTAACCAGAAAAGACTGTCTTACAGAGAGAAAATAAATTCTGTAGAAACCAGAGTATTCAAACTAGAGGGACACCTGTATTTATACCAGAAGAGACTTGCCAGAAAAGACTTTTTGTCTTTTATCATCCCAGGGAGGATATAAAGTCCTGTATCAAAGGCTGCCTTATAACCAAACCATATCCCAAAAAGGTTAAAAAAAAAAATCAAAAACAGAAAAACCATCTCTACCAAAAAGAAGAAGGCTCTACTGAGGAAAGATTCCCCAGGACAGAAATGGCAAGCCAGGAAAGTAGAGAGCTCAGAGGGCTCAAGTGAGTGCTGTACACTAAATCCAAGAATTGCCAATTCATTCCCAAAGTGATAATGCTTCAAGTCTTGCTTCTGGATACCATTTACGTCAACCTAAATAATAAATAGAAAAACTCTCTAAAAGAAAACAATATTTATTCAGAAATAGGGTATCATAATGGAAATATACAGGGGCCATAGTAAACTATGTGCATATTTAGGGACATAAAGAAAGACAAAGGTTTTTAAAGAAAAAATGAAGAAGATTACATAATTTTTTTGAGACAATTATCCTTGACTATGGCATCAATCAGAGGTTGGACAGGCAGATGCTGGACAGTTGTCCTTGCAGAAGTATGTTTTGTGTAAGGTTGCAATGGCCTTTGTGTAAGATTGTAGTTTTTGCAGTCTTTTGTGATAGTTATTGTTATCAGGCAATTGTGCATGACCTTCCCCAGCTCTATTTCTCAGGGATTATTTTTTCAAACACAGGTGACTCCATTTTTTATTCTAACAACTTTCCCATCTCTTTTTTTCTGACCCTGACCCTCATTCACTCTTCCTCTAGAAATTATAGTTATTACACTGGGCCTACTCAGATAATCCAAGACAATTTTTCATCTCAAGATCCTTAACTTAATTAAATCTGAAAATCCTTTTTTCCATGTAAGGTAGTATTTTCAGGTTCTGGGGACTAAGACATAGACATTATCAGCAGGTTGTTATTCTGCCTACCACAAGCTCTCTTACTGAACTTGATTGAAGAGCATTGTGGTTCAATAGAATTTTCTACAGTGATAGATATATTCCGTATCTTCTCTGTCCAATACAGTAATGCCATCCATATGGCTGTTGATTATTTGAACTGTAGCTAGTATAACTAAAAACAAAAATTTTATTCAATATAATTAATTTTACATTTCCATTTAATAGCCACAGGTAGCTGGCTCATAGATGTCATACTGGTCAGCACAGTGAGAGCAAACTAACAAATAATTTTAACAAATAATTCTCTCCAAAGTTTTGGAGGTGAATAGGAGGCAGAAAGTAGAACTAAAAAAGGATTTACAATTTATTTGCATTTTTACATCTTTACAATGAAAGTACACTAATAGGTATTTTAAAAGCCTATTTACTTAAAAGAATATTTTTAGTTGGATAAGGAAGGAATAATTTTATTTATCCCCGTAGTGAAGCTACATTTTATCTTATTTGATCTTAATAAAAGTATATTGGTAGGGCTGGGATGAATACTATAATTTCTATTTTACACAAATGGAAATCATCAGAGAGTTTGAAAGGCCCAAAGTATGATAGCGTGTATGGAAAATTTAAGGTCTTAACCCAGGTGTTTTAATTTTTCAATATATTATAACGTCTTCAAGTGGAAGAGAAACATCTGAATTTTGCTAAATTGCTTTCTTTTAAAAACTTTATTTTTATAGACTTTCATCCTCATTTATTAAAGAGTCACAGAGTATAATATTGAAAAACTTTAGCACAACCTACAATTTCAAACTGTTCTCCTTTTATCATTTTTCAGTAATTTAAGTTCCTTTGATTCAAATGGTTAAAAATTATAAGGCAGCCATTGGAACCCTAGCACACACAAGTAGAATCTTCCCTCCTAATGAGAGGTGACTTGAGAGATCTGATAGCTCCTAACTCCAAATCAAATGGAACAAAATAGAGACCCCAGAAATAAATTCATGCATTCACATCCAACTGATTTTCTGCATAGGTGCCAAGAATACAAAATGGAAAAAGACAATCTTGTCAAGAAATGGTGCTAGAAAATTGGATTTCCACATGTAGAAGAATGAAACTCACCTCCTATCTCTCACCATATTAAAAAAAAAAAAAAATCAGCTCAAAGTAGATTAAAAGCTTAAATATAAAGCCCAAATCTATGAAACTACCAGAAGAAAACGTAAGGAAAATGTTTTACAACATTGAGCTGGCTGAGGATTTTAGAATAATAATACCTCAATTCACAGGAAACAAAAACAAAAATAGAAAAATTAGACTACATCAAACTAAAAAGCTTTTGCACAACAAAGGAAACAATTAGCATAGTGAAGATACAACCTATGGAATGGGAGAAAATATTTCCAAACTGTAGATTCAACAAGAGGTAATATCAAAAATATATCAGGAACTTAAACAATTATCAGCAAAACAAAACAAAACAAAAACCACTAAATAACCCAATTTGTAAAATGGGAAAAACTCCTTAATAGATTTTTCTGAAAAGAAGATATTCAAATGGCCAACAGGTACATGAAAAAATGTCCACTATCACTAATCATGAGATAAATGCAAATCAAAACTACATGAGATACTACCTCAATCCAGTTAGAGTAGTCATTATCAAAAAGAGAAAAGAATGGGGGTTGTTGGTGATGATCTGTGAAAAGGGGTGGGATTACAAGTTATTAAAAGCACTATGTAAAACTACATGTAAACTCCCTTAAAAACTGAAAATATAACTACCATATGATCCAGCAATCCCACGACTGGCTATATAGCCAAAGGAAATAAAATCAGTAAGTCAAAGAAATATCTGCATTCCCATGTTTATTGCAGTACTGTTTACAATAACTAAGATGTGGAATCAAGCCAAGTGTCCAACAATGAATAAATGGATAAAGAATATATAATATATATTCACAATGGAATATTATTCAGCCATAAGCAGAATGACAGCATGGATGGACCTAGAGGATATAACATTAAGTGCAATAAGCCAGACACAGAAGGAAAAACAAACACCACATAATATCATATGTGGAATCTTAAAAAAAAAAAGGGGTAGTTGATATTACGAAAACAGAGAGTAAAACAGTGATTACCAGAGACTGGGAAGAGGGAAGAAAGGAAGAGAGGAGAACAGGAAGAGGTTGGTCAACAGGTATAAAGTTATAATCAAATAGGAAGAATAACATCTGGTCTTCTATTGTATAGTAGGGTGATGATGGCTAACAGTAAAATATTGTATACTACAAAAATAGCTAGAAGCGAAATTTTTGAGTGTCCTCATCACAAAGAAATGATAAATTCATGAGGTAATGCTCATGCTATATATCCCAAACTGACCATTTTAGAGCTTGTGTGTATAAAATATCAAGTTGTACTCCTCAAATATGTGCAATTACAACATGTCAAGAAAAAACAGCTGTCAAACACCATTGACAAAAGAGAGATCACAAAAGCATTTAGAGAAAATAAACTGATAAAATAATTCTCAATAGTAAGAATAGAAATTAAAAGAAAGTGGGATAAAAACTTAATCTGCTGAAATTAACAACATTCAAAGTGGGATTTTATAATCAAATCATCATTCAGAAGTGAGGGCAATACAAAAGACATTTTCAGACAAACCAAAATAATCATTACCGTCATTAGCCTCGACAGAATCTCTAAAGTATGGTCTTCAGGAAGAAAAAAGTTAAAACCATAAAGAATAAATTAAACGGAAAAAGTAATATACAGCAAGTAAACCTAAATCAATTCTCCAAAATAATAATGATATCCAGTTTGGAGAAATTTGAGAGTTAAATCCTAGACAACAATCACATGTGAGACAGGTGGAAATCAACATAATAAAATAATGTGATGTTCTGATGTGGAGGGAAGGAAAGTAGAACTATTGAATGACTTTATATTTTATTAAGTATATATATTAAAATATTAAACAAATTTTAAAAAGAAGAGGAATAGAAGATATACCTTCCAGTAAAAAAAAAAAAAAAATCCAGAAAAGAGCAGAATTAGCCAAAGTGAGAAAGAATACACAGCAACATTACGCTCACAAGTAGGGGATAACAGAATACAAAATCTGAAGGAGAATTGAAAAATCAGCATTCCTTTTTTTATTTTAAGAAAATATTTTACTTCCAGAAAAATTACAAAAATAATATAGGGAGTTTATGCATATCTTTCACCCCATTTCCCCTAATGTTCACAACTTATGTAACCATAATACAATGGTCAAAACAAGGAAATTGAATGATGAAATACTGTTATTGTACTTTATGCAAGAAAACTTGATATCTTAAAATAATCAAATACATAAAATCGAAAGACAAAATTATTAAATAAAAATTAGACTTAGGGAAATTATCTAGAACTCGGAACAGAGATATAAAGGCATGGAAACTACTAAAGAGAAATTAAGAGAAGTTGGGGATAGAATGAGAATGTCCAACATGAACTGAAGATGAGATCCAAGTGGAAAGAACAGAAAGAACAAGGGAGAGGCAATATTTTTTTAAATGGCTTAGAATTAAATGGCTTTCAGAGTCAACAGAAGATATAAAATCTCAGATTCCTAATGTATAAGCAGGAAAAAGAAATTAATTTACAACACAGGCATCATAGAAGAATTGTAGAAACTTGAGAAAGAGGAGAGATCTTAAAAGGAGTAAGAGAAAAGAGAAGCTCTTGAATTTTTTTTATAAATATAATATTCACATTAAAACTACATAAAGACAATTAAAGAAATATTATAGGAGAATTTTACTTATAAACTAGATAGAAAATTATAAATAAAAATCTTAACAAAAAGAAAAATCATCAATATATTAAGAAATACATTTAATCCAGGAATGCAAGGATGATTAACTTTGGAAAAGCTATTAGTATAATTCACCACAATAACACATTAAAAGATAAAAATGAATATTTCAGTAGAAGTAAAACAGTTTTAATAAGATTCATTACACATTTATAACTTAAGAAAACTAGTGGCAAACTAGGTATAGAAGAGAACTTCCTTTTCTGATTAATTTTGCCTATCAAAACTCACTGTAGCTATCAAACTCCATTTTGAAACAATACAAGCATTCCTGTATAATTTAGAAGAAGGTGGGGATATAGACAATCACTGCTTCTAGTCAAATTCACATTGGAAGACCTTCAAGTGAACTAAGGCAAATGAGAATTATACAAGATAAAGAGTAAAAGCAAGAAAAAAGAAAAAGAAAAACGTCATTCTTTTTAGGAAACAGTATTGCGAAAATAATTTCAGTGAGTAAAAAAGGTTGGCAATTTTGTCTGATATGAGCTCAGTACACAAAATGAAGAATATACTTTATACTTTAGCAACAAACAGAAAAATATACTTTAAATATACTTTTTAATTTTCAAATGTACATTTAAACTTTAAATGTACTTACTACAATAGTAACACAAACCATATATTTCCTGAGAATAAGCTAATAAATGAAATACAACAATCTTTGTAGAGTAGGTAATAAAACATTACTCAGAGACATATAAGTCTTAAATGTAATAGCATGTTTATGAATAAATTAAAAATAATAAAGACATGACAGTCTTCACCAAAATTAATTTATAAACTCAATGCAATTTCAACTCACAGGATTTCTATGCAACTTGACAAGCAGAGCCAAAAATTTATATGGAACAGTAAAGGGACAAGCATAGAAACTGGATTGAAAAATAAACATATGAAAATACCCTTAAAATAATGGTAATATAATTTAGGTAACAGTGGGATACAATTTTGAAATCACTGGTTAGATAATAACTAAATTTTGTTAGATGTCAGGAAAGATGAATTGTTCATACATTTCTGGAGAAATTGTAAAAAACCAAAACATGATATACATACTGTGGTAAATAGAAATTATTCCTATGAATTTCTGTCCCTGACAAACTTTCACATACATGCACAAAGAAATATGTACAAGGATTGCCATTGAGCACTCTGCAAAAGAGAACATAAGAAAATACAACTGACTCTCATTAGCTGGCTTGCTCATGCAGCAGAATGATGTTATTTAACTGTGTAAACGATTGAAATAAATCTGCATGCAT